CTCATATAAAAATATTTTGTTCTAGATTTTCGACTTATTTATTCATGTAGAGTCACTCTCTGTTCCCTTGTACTATCAGTTATAAAACACGCTGTATATGCAGGATAAATCAGTTAACGTTGGTATCTTGAATATCTTTGTTGTTTTGAAAGATACGTCATATGTTTTAAGGAAAAAGTTGAATGGTTCAATGGGGCTCATATGATGCCAAAAATACTTTATTTTTAAAAACAGAATCACCATTTTTTAAATACTTACAATCATAGCCTCTTTCATTAAGAATTTAATGATTTTAATTGTTCCAGGTCATTCAAGGTCACGGACAGAGAAAACGTATAAGAAGCGAAAAATTCCTTCTAGACAAACTTTGGTTAATATCTACAAGTTGTTTAGAAGTACTGGAAGTTTAGATGTAAGAAAGCGTAAACGTAAGAATCGGAATTGGAATTGTCCAAAAAATACTCATAAGTCAAAATAGCGTAATACGAATTTTGATCTAACGTAATTTTCATCCGTTTCACATATCGCTACATCAGGTATTACATAAAAATGACTTTAAAAATTGAATGAATTTTGGTCAATAGGGATTATGTCAAAATTGTTAATTTTTTTCTAATGTCTTTTTTACGGACGAAACAACATTCAGTAAACAAAGCTCAATTAATCTATGGAACACCCATTATATGTCTGTTGATAATCTGCAGTGGCTTTGAGAACTTGCCAATCAAAAATAATAAAACGTAAACGTATAGTATGGTATTTTAAACAAGCAAGTAATCGGACCATACTTCATTATCAGAACAATGACAGGACAAAAACATTTTCAATTTTTGCAAGAAAATCTACCTATCTTGTTGGAAGATGTTCTTTTACAAAACCACTATGATATATAGTACTAACATAATAGCTATTCTACCTATTATGCCCGAATAGCAAGAGATATATTGGATTCTAGGTTACCGAACTGATGGGGCAGTACACTCGTTTGATTAAAATCCACTGGATTTCTTTTTGTTGGGTCAGCTACAATAATATACACGATAATCAGCACAATATGTGCAAATATCATCCCGGATGTACTTATCAAAGTTCAATGTGCTATTCAAGTTACGTTTGTACGTTTACAGCAATGTATCGATGAAACGGCTATCTTTTTGAACATTAAATGACCTTAAATAATTTTAGTCACTGAATTCCTAATGAAAGAGACTATCATTGTAGGTGTTCAAAAAATGGTGGTTTCATTTAAAAAAAAAAATGAGATAACATTGATATCTTTTCAAAATATAAAAAAAAACATAAATATTTTTAGCATCATGTGAACCCCATTGAACCATTCAAATTTTTCCATAAGATATTTGACGTATCTTAAAAAACAACAAAGATATTTAAAGTATCAACGTTAACTAACTCACCCTGTATATGTATATATAAAGAAAATAATATTGTAATTTATTATTATACCTCCAAGAAAGCAAAGTTCTTATCTAGATTGATCTGACAAGCAAGGACTGGATTCCCTGCAGCTTGTGCAAGGCCTGATAAATGCATTTGTTGATTGAAAAATTCCATCATCTCTTCTTCTGTGACTCCAAATGGAATATTACCAACATATAATCTTCTTGCTTGACGAGTGATCGTACTACCAACAACAGGGACAGCAGCTTGAGGAGTATCTGCTACAATATTTGCAGGTATTTGGCCAGCAGCCTGCATAGCTTTATACTGTTATACAAAGAAAAAATTAAAATATTAATATTAAACTAATTACTAGATGTGTGAAAACAATTAACACATTGTATGTCAGCCCTATATTTTTATGGTATTTTCAACCTATCACTTGTTTAAGCGCACATGTCAAATATTCAGTTAAAATATAGTATACTGTTTTGTAAAAATGAATAAAATTTTTAATATATATTCTTTCATATGTCCATTTCCCCATAAAGCAGAAATGCGATAACTGGCATTCAATCTTTCAGTAGTCAATATTTAGCTGACATACAATGTTTAAAAATTAACATTTAAATGTTCTTAAGTTACCTGCAAAGGTGTAATATGTTCAAATCCAGGTGGTGGTACATCCCAATATAAGGATGGCTTTCTCCTTCTAGAACTACGACTTTTTTTAGGAGAACTGCTTCTCTTACGGTCTCTACGGTCTTTGGAACGAGACCTTGATCTCTTCCTACGTTCCCTACTACGTGATCTGTGTCTCCTATCACGATCTCTGTCCCTATCACGGTCCTTGTCTCTATCTTGTCTCTCTCGATCTTACAAAATAATGATTATTATGCATTAATATTCAAGTAATTATTGGAAATAATATTTTCTTATATTTGAATAAATTATATCTGCATTCCAGTTGACCTTCTATAATCTTCCAATGTTACTCTGATGTCACATATTGACATATTCATATTTTTTTTTACTTACTTAAATTTTGTTTTCAAATGTGGCATACGCATATTGTTTTATAATTTTTCTTTGCTAACCGATAAGATTCTGTATAACTATTATCAACTTTAACTTGAGATATTGTAATAAATCTAATATATAATTCATTGTTAATTGGTATTTATAAGTTAATATTTGTTTGTTTCAGATTACAAATATTTTTGTATAATTCCGAAAAAATTTAGACTATAACAAGTTAAATATGGTAAACAAAAAACATCTTTTTTACTATGTTTTAATAACACTAATTCTTCAAACTAAAAAGATAACAGGCAATTTCTAATAACTTTTATATATATATTTGCTATTTGTAGATATGTCAATGCTTCGAGATTATTTATATAAATAAATATTATTTATTTCATTATATATACATAAAAAATAACATGCTTTAAAACATCAGTCAATTATAATCAAAAGAAAAGAAAAAAAGAAAAATCATTCAGATAAATTTGTTTATGCGTACAAGTGTAGCTCTCCGGCCATTACATTCATAGAAATCCACTTATCTTCACATAACGCGGGAAGACTTACGAAGAACGAAGATAAAAAAATCCTATTAAAAAATTTCTTACCTCCATTAAAATCTTCTCCCATCTTTGATCTCCCTATGCAAAAGTACTATACTATATTATATGAAAATATGTTCAAAGAAAACGTTAAAATCTATAAACGTCAGCCGCTCCCAAAAAGATTTTTATACCGAAATGGCGTGAGAACAACAAGAAGAACAATGTATTTTATCTAGTCGCCACCAGATGGCACGAAAAGCACTTTCAAGCGTGTTCCTTGCTCCAGCTCAGTGTTTCTCAATCTTTTTGTCACGTGAAACACTTTTAAATAATTTTAAATTTGATAGCACACTCTGTCAATATTGACAGTATTGTATGTAAGGCTAATGATAGGTATACATTATTAATTTTTACACTCTGAATATTAAAGTTTTCAAGAATCTACGTGTAATGTTATTGAAGGTATAGCCCATGGAGCCTATATAGAAGGAGGACGATCGTGGAGATAATTTCTATTGCCACTAGAGAGCGCGTCTAGTCGTTTGGTCTGATTTTTAAAAAAAGTAATTAAAACAAAAACAGCAAAGAGAACTATTAATTTGATTTGTTTATTTATGAAATCACAAGTACTTAAATCTAAACTTAAGAACATCACCGTCGCCTTCGTGGATAATTATCGTACTCTACATTCACTCATTTTCAACAACACAAATTCGACGCAAACGCCTATCTCGATCGTCCTCCTTGTATATAGCTTCATTGTATAGCCAATCTAATTGAAGTTTTTCGTTGATTAGTAAATGATATAGTTATGTAGTTTGTCCGTTTGTTCCCTTCTGTATCACTTGTTTCAAAAACCAGTGCCGTATGTCAATAAAGCCGACCATGCCAGATTTTAAGTATTATTATTCTAGGTTATACAAAATAATAAGTAAAATGTTAGATTAAATGGATTATAAATTTAATATTATTATTTAAGGTTATATATATAAACAGTAATAGATAAAAAGGTAAGTTAGAAATTATTTGAAGAAAAGAAGAAGAAAAAGAAGAGAACAAAATATTGGGTTTATTTTTCTTGTAACCCCATTTTTTGTACGCTCATGTCCTATACGTTGGAAAGCACACATCTGGTTATGAGCGGAGTGGAAAATATTTTTGATAATTATTGTCAGATGGTCTACAAATATGGGTCTATACACAAACATACTATAAAACAAATATAAGATAATAAATTACAAATAATGTAAATTCAATAATATATACGTAATCTTAATAATACAAGCGGCTTGTATGTCAGTGAGAAATATGTGCTTGATGTTTTTGAATAATTTATTTTAAATTTTTGGACGCGAAAAGGATAAAGCAACTTTCATGTTATGTTCAACGTTTCCAAGTATTGATCTTTTTGTATATTTTATATTAATTTATACAGAAAATTCAAATTCGCACAAGTAAAATGTTGAAAATTGCAATTAGAGGATTAATGATTTTCTAGATACAGCTACAAAATTTTCTTTAAGAGAAATCAAAAAAATTATTAAAGATATTTCAGAATATTTTATTTTCCAATTTCAGTCACTCGAGATAGAAACAAAGTAGTTTCTAATGAAACCGTTCTTTCTTTAGATCTGCGCGCCTTACATCAAGTTTTTGTTACACAGCCTACTTATTTCGTGTTAATAGTGAGCCAAAACGAAAACAAAAAGAAAACGCTGAATTAAAAGGCCGCTATTGCACATTGTTTTTTATATATATTATTGCTTACAATTAATAGTTTACTTAATTACATTAATACTCAAAAAATTTATTATAGATTAATTCTAAAAAATTAGCGAAACACACACTTAAAAACCTTTCGTGACATAATGATTGAGAATCGCTGCTTCAGTTTTAGGAATTATGATATACGATATGTTTTACATCTCACAATGTAAATTGCAATAAATTATTGATTAAATATAATAATTTATCTATCGGTTAATAAACAACACACAATGTATATAATTTAATATATTTCTATAAAAATGAAAGAAATATAAATTCCCTAGGGTTACTCTTTATATAAATGATCAGGATCGGTTAAATTTTTATTAGTTGCTAGGACACTTAAAAATGTTTTTAAAGTTGTGTAAAATTAATGTTTAATGTTGTGTAAAAACCAAAATGATGTATAATACGAAAGACTTATATTATAATATATGTAAAATTTTGATCTTTTAATATAAGACATACGAACATAGCCGGATTTTTAATAATACACCAATATACTGATCGTTCACAAAACCTTTCTAAGGTTTGCAATTTTGAAATAGTTAAATTAATGAATGAAAATTAGTGAGAAAGAGGAGAACTTATTAATTTCAATAATTTTATAAATAATTTTTGTAGAAGTAAATATAGAGTTAACAATTTACATTAGAGAAATATGGAAAATAAACAAGTATTGGAAGAACGTCTAAGAAAGGCTTCTTGTATTGGGGACACAGATGCAGTTCAGGAACTTGTTAACTTAGGTGTTGATGTTAATACACGACATAATGTTAACGGATGGTATTCATTGTTCATAATATTATATATTAAATTATACAAACATTTATTTTGTAAAAATCAATTTTTTTCAATTTAATCATAATGCTTGTGCAATATTATTTCATTTTTTTTATCTCTTTTGCAAATAATATTTTCTTTTTAAAGGACACCATTACACTGGGCTTGTAAAAGAGGCTTTTTGGACGTAGCTGCTTTACTTCTGAAACATGGAGCTGATAAAAATATAATGTCAGAAAGTGGGGAAACAGCAATATCTTTATGCACCAATCAACAAATTTTACAATTATTGAATTCTGATATTCAACGAAATACTAATGGACCAATGATACATCAATTTATGCCTAAATGTATAAAAAATGAACTTTTAACTACTAATATAGATTCTGTACAGCATTTAGGAGTGAATCATAGTCGATGTGAATTGAAAACTAACAATCATTTGCAAGATGGTAAGAAAGATCATGTTGTTTAATCAGTTAGCTGTGGGGATCTTTTTTAAAAATATGTACCTTCATTATGTTGCTAACATGAAACGATAACAAGTATATATACTTGTCATACACAGAGTATATATAGCTGTTATAATATTCAATTAAGTTGTAATCGAATGTTTATTTTATTCTTTTTTATAAAATTCATTATTTTATTATTAACATTTATTTATTTACTTAATTTAAACATATAGTTTGCATATGGAAGAGGAAAAAAACTAAATATCAATTACTTAGAAATTGAATCTGCTGTTATTGAATGATATTGAATAAAGCTAGGTAAAATACATAATGGCACTTTACAAGTCGAACACTAATATGTTGTTTCTTCTTGAATATTATTTTTGTAACAACGCATCTTCATATAAGATTACTTTTTGAAAATGTGTAACGTTAGATTTAGTTGGCCAGGTTTGTTATAATTTGTTGTTTACATTCAATTTTCTACTAATTATTTATATTATTTTTTGTTTTATTTCGGCTTGGTCTCCAAATATTTGAAACAGTTTGAAATTTACAAATATATTTTTGTTGTCACTAAAATTGCTATATATATATATGTATATAAGTAACAAACATTAATTACTTTTTTCGCATGACTAGTATACTCGTTAATCATACACAGCTATCTGATTAAAAAATTATATATAAAGATATATTTTAAATAACTTTAATATAAATATTAGTGTATTTTTATAGAATTAGTTGTTAAATTACGTATTGCAAATGCACCTGATCCTGACTTCGTTGAGGTCGAATTACCTATGAATGATTTAACATACCAGACATTAATACAGACATGTTGCGAAGAATTTGGATTATGTCCGCATCAAATTTTGAAATTACGAAAATTACCGAATACTAAATTGAGGAAAGATAAAGATATAAAACGGCTTCAACATTTTCAAGAAATAGAAGTAATAACAGATCCAGCTAATGTATATAAACATATGCAATATTCTAACAGTGTTCCCAATAACGTTTTACCGAGTCCAGCTAATGGATATCAAAGTATTTCAAATAAAGATCAGACTATTTTATATTAAATTAAATTTTTAATTTATTTATATATTAAAATTAGGGTAAAATTAGAATAGATATTTTTATTTTCTTTTTATCATTTTTAAATTTTAATAAAAAATAGGAATGTAATAATTAAACATTATAACAAAATATAAACAAACGTTTGCATGTATTTATACTTAGAGTAATATAATCAATAACAATTTGTTCTTAGAATTAATAAATAATATTCTAAAAATATAAAATTACTTATTATTTTCTATACTTTCCTCTTCTTTGTTTTTTCTTTTTTTATCCTCAAATTCCTTTGAAGATGTTTTCTTGACTATAACATTACCCTCAGGAGTAACTACGACATTGGCATTGCTAGATAAAGTCGTAAGTTCTCCCTCAACATTACAATATGCTTTTGGTCTTTTAGGTTTAACAACAGGAATATATACAGTATTCTTATTTTCTAAAAATTAAATTTTAAATTAATTAAAATAATTTACACGCGAATATTGTAAATTTATAATACTCACTCAATGTCATGTATATAGGAAATCCTAGACCAATAGGAGTTTTTAATCGAATAGCACGAATATTTGACCAACCACCAGGATAAGTTTTGGTCAACTGGTTACAAACAGCAAGAACATTATCTAAAATATGTTTCTTTTTCATAGAGGTATTTGCTACTTGTATTACATGAGTATCAGCCAAAGAATGTAATCGCATGGATGTTTTTCTTAGCGCATAATCAATTTCACTTTTTAAATCTTTCTTATCCATTTTGACGGAAGTTGGAAGTTTACGTTTATTGTAAAATATTTTTCCTAATAAATGCGATACGTGTCCAGCAATTCTTCCATCTACTAAAAAGTGATCGTAGCTTGCAACGAGTTTTCTTTTTAATTCATATTGATCATATTCAGTCTTAAGTTGATTCATGGGTATAATGTCTTTGATTTTTGTACATCCACATTTTTCAAGTAACTCTTTATAATAATTTACTGTTGGTTCATAATCCTTTCTTCTACCTTTTTCCAGATCACATACAATGAGTGCGATATCATCTTCTGATGATACTACAGAATTAGGTAATAAACTGTAATAAAATATGAATTATAAAATAGTAAATGTAATTTCCAAAATAGGAGAAGAAAAATAAAAATATATTAAAGCAGCATCATTCAATAAATTATAATCACATTATATGATTTCATAAGGATCCATTGGTAATTATAAAAGAATAATCATTTGCTGATTTTTTAATCATAAATTAATGAACTATGTTTATGTAATGAATTACAATATCAGAAATTTATAAAACAAAAAAATGTTTTCTTCATTTAACAATACTATAAAACTTACATTCTTACTTGTCTTCTTGGTACTTGTGGTATCCTGATACAAGTAACCTGCATAAATATCGGCTGATATTCATCAGAAAATAATACATTTGTATCTTTTAATTGTTCTTTTGTTAGATGAAAAATAGCTAAAATACACTGTTGTATATGCTCCTTTGATAAATCTTTGAGATTAATATCATCGCCATTACTTTTTACTTCGATATCTTCTATAATAATTGCTTTCTGCTTTTTAATAGTAGTATCAGAATTAAGTTTTAATTTTTTAGCTTTCTTCATTTCAGGAAGAGATTTTCTTTTTTCTTTTGCATTCTCAGTGTTATTTTGTATTATTTCACTATTTCCGGTAAATTTCTTTTTTTTTTTAACCGAATCAAATTTGATTTTTTTATTGTTTTCTATACATTTTGAATTTAATCTCTCTTTTATTTTGTCTTCGAATATGTTACTTACATCATCATTTAAAGCTTTTCTCTTTTTTGTTACATGTTTTAACGATTCCATATTCAAGCACACGTGGTCTCCTTTCAATCTTCCTATGGCAAAGAACGAGGAACGAAAGAACGTTGTACCAAACGATTCACATATTCACACAAGATATACCAACAAAGTTAGGGAACGCGATGGAAATTTCTGATCATATTCAGTAGCGCTATTGTTAGATATTTTTCGAACTTTCTTTAAGATGCCGTTATGACTTGTTTCTATTGAAAAATTGTTAAATGCATAGAAGTGAAACCTAAGACGTAAGCAAGAATTAAGAAAGAAATATCAACTCTTACAATTAGTAATCAAACTTATTGTTAGTAGTGTCAATTGGAAATTATTAAAAATAAAATAAAATAAAATAAGCCTGTAACTTATATGTGTGCTAAGAAATTCAACAATTACTTATAATAGAAAACTTAATTTTATTAAAATCTATTTTTTGTTTCTTTTTTTAGTAATTCTAATGAAAAGAAAATATCTCTTTAAATACAACAAAAGCGTAGTAATAATTAATGTCGTTTCTGTATTATGCATTTGTAAAACTGTTTCATGATGACCTAGACAACATAATTTAAAAACAACGTCATTACAATCAGAACTCGATTATTTTTAACCTCCTTCGTAAACTCGCATATCGCGGTCCAGAAAGGACACTTATCATTGTCACCATCCTCAAAACTATTTTGCGATGACTGCATTTGATCGGCTTATGCTCTCTATCACAACGTGTAAAAATAGTTTGTTACACATGATATATACGCATTTGTTATTATTTTACGGTTAGATGAGAGAAATTTTTCAAAATCTTGGAGAAAGATTTGATAAAAATTATGTAAGAAGAACAAATAAATAATGGTATGTATATCGTAAGTATATAAATATGATTGATTTTAAATGTTTCTTCAAATATTGTTAATAATTCAAAAAAGAATATATTATCTTATAAGTTTGTTTCAGAAGGTTGTATTATACATACATAATAGAAACTACAAAGTTTTATTGATTTGTTCAGATAGTTGTAATATAAACAAATAGACATAGTAATTAATTAAGATAATAAAATATAAATCATTAGTATAATGAATAATGTCACTTTTATTATTTGTTACAGAAAAAAATAAGAAAACTATTTAAATACAAACAATTGACTATAAAGAACAAATTAGAAATTATTAAACTTGCTGAACTAGACATACAATAATCAAAGATTTCTGGTCAATATAAAGTGGTAGGATCAATATATCATGTATTATCCAAAAAAAAGGAAAAATGTTAATTATCATCGCTAGAGAAGAAAATATTCCACAAAAGAACAAAGGTCGACATTGGCAAGCATGCTTTTTAGAAAACCTTTTGTTGAAACGGATCAAACAAAAATGAAATCTGGGAATGTATATCACAGGGCCTTTGATGCGAGAGAAGGCTTTATTCTTCAATAAGCAGCTTAAAGGACCACCGACTTCAAAGCCACAGTTCAAGCTGGTTAGGAAGATTTAAGGTAAGATTTGAAATTTTTATCAACTTAGTATTCAAAGAGAGTAATTGTCAGCAAATGTAAATGAAGCTGCAGTATTCAAATAGAAATTTTCCCAAATTATTGGAGAATCGGTACGAGAAGATACAGATGCACCTACACAGCGATAACTCTCTGATAAAGAACTGATAGAAAAATATTTAAGAACAGAAAATTATGAAATGCGTAGGTTCATAGGAATAGAGTAATTTTGTAAAATAATTTACAACAATAAACAATCTGTATATATTAACCGTTTGAGTGCTGAAGAATTTTCTTATATACATATATATATATATATATTAAAAGTACAGAATAAAATGCGCAGTTATTTTTTTCGGAAAATAATAGAAACGGTTATAATTAACATTAATTATCATATAAAAAGTGATTTTTATCACAAAAAATATTTTTTATTCTCAGTTATTACAAAGGTGTTTTGCTGCACAAATTCCATGGATTCCTTTTTTACATACAGCGCAAATTAAGTTGGAACGTTTAATTCCATTACCATTTTTCTTGCTGCATACTTCACACTGTCGCAAATTTCGCCCAGGCAATTTTTCTAAAGAAAACTTCTTGCTTATTGATAATCCTGTGGTATTTTTGATTGCTAACCATTCCTTCTCTATAGCATCAATAATGCTCGATGTAAATTGCAGTCTAGTTAATTTTTTACCAAGACAATTTTCCGAATATATTATATAAGCGTTTAGCACCATTCTGACAAAAATGTTAAAAACAACTTTTTTCCAGTATTTGAGAGTTCGTCTTTCATCGAGATATGTATATAATATTTTGTCGGATTCATCAACCCCATGTATAAACTTGTGATAATTGTGAATAATAGTTGGTTTTTCCTTTACATATTGTTCATTTTTTTTCTTCTTTGTAACAGTTATGTTTTCTGTTGTACTGTTTGTAGAGATCAGTATGACAGGATTTTTTTTAGATTTTTTGTCTCGGTAAGAGCACATAAGTATTTTGTTACTTTTGAAATATTTTGGTTGACCAACTTGTGCAAATTTTGCCTCATTCGGGATATGTTTTCTAGTTCTCCTAATGGTGCCAGTTAGATATGTATTTTTCCGTAACAGTGCTTTTGCAAGGAGAATGCTTGTGAAAAAATTATCTATGAATAAATGGTATCCTTTATTCATGTAATTTCCTAGTGCTAGCAATTTTTCAATCACTACATATCCGAGACCATTCTTTTTTATTTCTTCTTTATCGTCGCTTGACTTCGCACCTTGATAACAATAAAATCCCAAACAATAGTTTGAAATAGAATCGCAAATCATCCAGAAGTTGATTCCCCATTTATGGTGTTTTTTGTTAGGAATATACTGCTTTGTAATAGAGTGACAATGAGTACCAACTGACGATTCGTCTATACTCAACTGGCGGTGTGGCGTATATTGTTCCTGAAAAATTTTGTTGGCGTAATCCACCAAGAAATTGAATTTATCGCACGAATCGTAATCTGAATTTTCTGATGATGCCAAATTGCTATTGTCTATCAGATGGAAAAACTTCAAAATCAATTGAAACCTATCCCTAGCAAACATTTTTCCAAACCACGGGATGTTTCTTAAACCTTTACTCCAATAGGAGTTTATTGATGGACGTTTGGTGATGCCCATTTCTAATAGAACCGCAACAAATGCTTTCATTTCTGCAGAAGTTACTGGTACCCATGATTTCGCGCGTGAACATCGCTTCAAATTTCTTCTGGAATTAAAAAATTGCTCAGCATAGCGATTCGTTTCTGTAACCATTGTAGTAAAAAGCAAATTTGAAAAAAATTTATTGAAATATTCAATTGGTTCCGCATCAGAAGCAGGAGCATGTTTTGGACCAGATATTTCAGAAAAACTATTTGATTCATTCGAAAATATTGAGTTTACAGGTAAAAATTCATCGATACTATCGTACTTGCAGTTAGTTTATCATCATCATTGCTTTCACTAATTACTCGTAATCTCTTACGAGGGATGATGATATCACTTCCACTATCACTTTCAAAGTCATTACTACACACTGTATCGTCAGTGCTCATTTCATAGTCACTTTCAGATAAATCAGACTTTGACATGGTGTGTATACTGGCGGACAAAACAAAAACTGTATATTCTCTCCGTATACTGTTAACAGTGCTACAACGCGTTGTAAAGACAAAAGAAGTGTGAAATACAACATATGAAACGATCATTTAATTCAAACGTTGACTCATTAGAGTGATCCACTATAGTAGCGCATCGTGCCTAAGAGATTAATTTTTATCATATTTAAATCACAATTGAATGATATTAATAAAAACCATAATTGATATGAATACAAATGCCCTCAATTAATGTGAAAATTATATTAACAAACAGCAACGCCATCGCACTTCTACGCATTTTTGGCACAAGACAAGAGAAGCGCGATAGCGCTTCGCCGCATTTAAACGGTTAAATGGCTCAAGTAATTGTTTTTGTTTTTATTGAATGGTCAAACAGAGAGGATAGTGAAAAGAATCATAATATTTTATCAATGGACACGAAAGACGACTATGTCTCCTATTTACCAAAAACATTCAATGAAGATGAAATAGATTTGAAAAGAATGTACGAGTCTTTTACTATTTTTAAAAAGTGTTATGAAAAACGAGATGATTGCACTAAACAGGAAGTAATCGATTCGAATTACATGTAAAATATGTTAGAATCTTTATTATATGATAAATTATATAAAAAAAATAAAATTAATCAACAAATTTGATAACAACACTATAGAATCTGATGTATAGAATTTGATATATCTAATGTGTATTATTACATTTATTCATTAAGAAACAAATTTCCGATTTAAAGATTTAATGTATTAATATATAAGAATATTTTATTGAATTTTTTAATGCATCAAAAATGACATCAAACGAATTTTTAACAAATTCGGCTTATCATTGTTTGCAATGATAATTTGTGGGCTAGTAACTTCTCGAAGAAGGAGAGAATTTTATTCCGTTTGAAAATTAAAATTTAGCAAAATCAACGCGTGGGTCAGTGTTTGACCCGCGGGTCATAGGTCATCGCTATCCCTGATATAGAACCATGCACAGGATGAATTTCAAAGTTGCATTATTCCCACGAATTCATTCATTGGTTACACGCATCACGTGACAGTAGTAGATGGTGGAGATATGAGGGAAATATGACACGTAATGACAAGAGTGTTTATTACAACGGAAATATGACAGAGTAGCGATTAACAAAGAATCTTACGAAAAACAAAAGTTACAAAAATCGAAGTTTGCAATTAACGAAGTTTTATTGTATTTGCATCTGAAAGAAGAACAACGGAAATTTGCTTTCTGTCTAAGGAACGCAGGTGTATCCGCAACTGCAGCGTTCCGTTCAGAATAGAGGGCGCGGCTGCAGTATTTGCTTTATTCTGTGCCATGGTGACGGCGATCGTTTTGTATACTAACGTGATTCGTGGATGAACAAACTGCGGTTGACCAATCCAGTAACGCCAATATAGAGACACTAAAAAGCAATAAAAGATAAATATTTTTCAGCGGGAAACAGAGACTATTCAGAATTTTTAAATTTGCATCGATAGACAGTATTTTAATCTAATTATAAGTTAAATTTGATCAATTATAATCATAGAAAAATTAATATTGATATATCATTTTCTAAACAATATCATTAGTTATCTTTCTTAAAGTTTCAAACACATAGCCAATAGTTAAATATAATATATTTATATATTTATATAAGTCTTATTACCTTATTTCTTAAATCATATACAACATATATATAATTAATAAATATTAATTATTGAGATTAATAATTAATTGTAAAATCTATGAAGAAATTTATTTAAAACACATATTTATAAAATTACACAATAATAAAAATCCCGTTATTAAATAAAAAGCATGAAATCAATAGCGAGTAAAGTAACACTTGGTTAACCAACACAATCGAGACCACTTTCACGACAAACGGTTCTTTTTATCGTTAAACGATCTCATTTCTTCTTTCTATTCTTTCCTTACATTACATTTCATTTGTTTACGTTAGTAGAAATTCATTATACGTTGAGCATTTGAATGTGATAAGTCGTAAATTTTAACTTATTTAGTTATCTGATAGGTAAAAATTTTGTTAGAAAGTTTGATAAGAATTAGAGATAATAGTGCTATAATCATTAAAAGTAATATCAATAAGTACAACATTCTAAGAGAAGTGATGATGATTAGTGAATAATTTTAAAAATTTCATTTAAACAATTAATTTCCAACTCCTAGTGTTTTACGATATCGATTTTCTGTGATGTTATTATTTCGAAATTATCGCCGCATTTCTATTTATTTGTGTATTATTGTTTTCATTATTTACGTTAGTAAGATTATTCAACGTTATATTAATGAATGTTCTGTTAGAGAAAAGTTATCTTTAGATAACGCAACTCGAGATTTAATGGTTCCGAAAGAATTAACAATAACAAATAGAAAAACAAAATTTTTAGAGCAAGAGGTATTGAGTTATAAGATAATTGTGAAATTTTACTAATAATTATATTATTATAATAAATCATTTCTTCGTGTTTTTAAGTTTACAAATCTTTCGAGACTCGGGCAGTGGCTTTTATCGTCCAAAAAATTGTTACCAGTAATAATACACAAAAAATCGAAACCTTATATAATTCTAATTTGGAAATACGGACCATTTTTGGAAAGAAGACATATTAGACGATTTACTAATATTAAGTTAGCTTTGTTTTTGTTAAATTATATACTTAAAATTCACATCTTACTTACATCTCTTTTCCTCAATAATTTCAGATTTTCGCCTTGGGAGAATTGTTCGGTAGATAATTGTTTATTGAGTTACAATTCGGAAGATTTAAATAAAGCGGACGCAGTTGTATTCCATCTTCATTTTACTAAAAGTGTACAAAATTTACCTATTAGAACTCGTTCGAATCAGAGATGGATATTTTTAACGGACGAATCGCCGATGCATACATTTTATTACCAAAATCAAAAATTATCAGATTACAATGGCTTATTTAATTGGTCAATGTCGTACCGCATGGATAGCGATATACCTGTACCTTATGGTAGAACTATTCCAATATCCTCGACGAGAAATTCGTTTAACAATTTAACGTATTTATATAATTATTTCATAAGCTCGAAAACAAAACTTGTCGCGATAATGGCCAGCAATTGTTCTGGTAAAAACAAAAGGTGGGAATACATCCGTTCTTTGGAATCAATACTGGGTAACGATCTTGATATTTACGGACGATGTAAGGGGGGTAATAAAACAGCTTGCCCTGGTCACTTTGATACCGATTGTCCCGCCTTAAATGCTTATAAATTTTATCTAGCTTTTGAAAATTCTAATTGTAAGGAATATTTGACCGAAAAAGTTTTTTGGAATGGATACAACAAATTTGCAGTTCCGATTATTATGGGTGCTCCGAAAAGCGATTGTGAACGACTTTTACCATCAGGATCATATCTACACGTTAATGATTTTGCTAGTTCGTACGAGTTAGCACATTATCTTAAAAATTTCCATCATAATATTAGTAATTATCTTCAATTTCACGTATGGCGTCAAAACTTCGAAGTATTGAATGAACACGGTTATTTCGGTAGCGTATCTCGTCATTATTGTCGTATTTGCGAGGCTTTGCATTATAATTCTCTTGCTAACAAAATTTATAAGGACCTCGATTATTTTTGGGGCAAAGAAAAATTCTGTTCATAAAATTAATTAGAATACTTATCCTGTAAGAACATACGAACGGTCGTGTATATATTTACTTGTGATAGAAAGAAAGATAAAATGTATATATATTATAAGTAAATATATATTAATTTATTTTTTAATAAAAAATATATCATTAATTATGTATCTCTCTAAGTACTTATATATTTATTAATAAATATTTACTTATCAAATACCAAATATATGTGTGTATTTGGTTGTGTGTGATGTGAGTAACGCGTGACATATCATAAACGTATTTCTATTATTTTCTTATGAATAAAAGATATATTACACTTTAATATATCTATATTATTTATTAAAACATGCTTTGGCATTAGGATAAAAAAAAATATTTATATTTATGAAGTCCTGTTGATTTTATAATATGTATAAACTCAAGTTAACCTTCAAATATGGTTTTATATTTGCAATAATTTTTTAAAAATCTTAACGTATGTATTACGTAAAGTTATCTATATTAAATAAAGTACGTTTGCGAGTGCAGCATGATACGATATTATTAAAGTAAAAATCATGAATTATTCCAATGTATAATACTATAGTTCTGAAATTGTTTCGTATTACCAAGGCATCGATAAAACGAGATTTTGTACATCAATCGATTATATTTCGATCTATTTTATATTCTTATTTCAATAGATACAATTTTAATGGTAACATTAAATATTTTGCAAATATGTCCATAAAATGTTTTCAAGGTCACAATGACAATTATAATGGTGTAACTATACATTCCATCGAAGAACCTTGTCTGATTACAGTATTTCCTCAATATTTACAAGGTACATTCATTTATCTTATTTTTTATAATTTTACTTTTAAAAATTACTATTATTTGAGATGTATTAATAGGCTAAAATGATTAACGTTATTTTAAAATTTTTTAATAATTTTCTTGTTCAAGCACTTGTGTGCTTAATTTATCAGAAATATCAGACCCTTTTTTTATAGAAAGCTGTTATGATTCTATTAATAGTTAGCTTTTAAATGTACGTTGAAAATCCTTCATTAGTAAAGTCAATAGAATGAAATACATGAATTTTCCAAGAAGTCATATAGACAAGCCAATAAGTTTACACCGATGAAAGTAAATTCCATGTATTTAATTCCAATGGAGGATTAATAGTATAGAGGAAACTCTATGCATATTACTAATGCATATTACTAATACTCAAATTCAAATTAAACATTTATACCTAACTGTGAAGCATAGTGGTGGCAGTGTTCTTGTCTGGCGGTGCATGAGTGCATCTTATGTAGAAAACTTGCAATTTATTAATTCCACTATAGGCCAACACGTATATTTAAGTATTTTGAAAGAAAATATACAGAATAGTGCATAAAAATTAAACTTGTGATCTGCATTCATATTTTAAGAAGAGAACGAACCCAGATACGTGACTAAAAAAAGTTAAAGAATGATTGCTATATAATGTGCCAAAACCTGTGTCAAAACTTTACACATCACTACAACGCCTGATTTAAACTAAATCGAGCATGTATGGGATGAACTAGGCAGATATATTACATAATATTAGAAACAAAGAACATTTGAAACAATGTCTGTTATACGAATGAAATAATATTAAGCCTTTTATGACAGAAAAATTAGTAGCTTCTAAAGCATATGAAAAAATTCTGAAGGCGAAAGGAGGTCCTAGAGATTATTAATTGTTATCGATATAGAAAATTTATACCATAGAGAAAAATATGTTTGTGTACAGAGACTATTTTGACATAACTTTTGTTAAGCTTATGTTTAAATGCAATTTTTTTGTTGATTAATTATTAAGGATACATAATTTTTGTGATATGAATATCCACAGGATATTATTTTTTAATTGTGAGTTATATTCTAATAAACTTTTATTTATTTTTGTCGTATTTCAAGTTAGAGTATAATAAATTATTGATAGTGAAGTGTTCGGAAACTTAGTTGACTATACATATGTACATATAATATATTATACCAATTCATATTATATGTGCAGACACATAGATGTCTAGCAATTAAAATGTTTATGCGACACTAGACAACAATACCCACCTAGTGTGTGTAAATCAGTTTTTGTTTATTTCATGTTGAAAGTTATTAGGTCATATATTAGGATTTTGCATTGTATTTTTGTTAACTATTCGTTGTTACGTGACAGTGTAACTACTAAAATCACTTTTTCTTGTGTGTGTGTGTGTGTGTGTGTGTGTGTAATAATGATTAGTCTAGCACTTGAATCTCTGGTTCCAAGATCGAAGAAAATGAAGATAAAAAATGAAATAAACCAGATATTTTCATTTCTCATTTTTATCGCGTATTTGTAATTTACAAAGGTAATACATTTTGATATTAACTTTGTACTTGTTGTATGTTATTGTATGGTATTGTAGGTATGCAAATCTTACATTAATATAAAACTCGATTTTTGGCACACTAGGTGGGTTTTATCGTCCAGTATAAAATTATATTATAAATATTTATCGTACATACATACAATGATATATATTTTTCAATAAAAGATTTTTTTTTTATAGATTCCTTAAAAATTTGGTCAGAACAAAAGAAACGGACAATTTGGTTTCGCGTACACTTGTCACACTCTGAATGGATACCGATTTTAGTACAAAATGGTTTTAAATTTCATCATGCACGAGAAGAATATGTTATGCTATATTACTGGTTAAACAAAGAAACAGTCTGTAATATTCCACCTTATGCTCATACAAATTTGGGAGTAGGAGCATTTGTTTTTAATGAAAAAACTTCAGAGATATTAGTTGTAAAGGAAAAAAATGTCAAAGGCCGTCTGTTTTGGAAACTACCAGGTGGTTATATTGAACCAGGTAATATCTTTAACACGTTAAGCATAGTGCTGTTATAAGAACTGACGGTGAGTTTTTTTGTTTAGGCGGCATCTTAGTGGTTGCCTTTTTACCATTCCTCATTTGATTATCTTTTGTTTATACTTTATATATTCCTGCATTGGCTGTGCTATTCTCATAATCCAAACAGATAGTAAAACACAATTATGTCACTGTGATGTGTGTGTAATGTTCTGTTTATACAGTTAAACCTTGGATTGCAAGTAACTTGATTTACGTGAAGATTAACTTGTTTAATTTTTACTTATTTTTAGTATTCTGTATTTTATATCATTTTTATATGAATAAATAATTGTTGAACGATTTATCTGATTTTCCATTATATATTTCTTATGACAAAATTCGTTTGAACAAACTACGAGCAAATTCGTTTGACAGATTACGAGCATATATCTGGAACGAATAATGTTTGCAAACCGAGGTTCCACTGTACTTTATAACCAAACACCTTGACGAGTGATCATCATCATGTGTCGCCTTAACGGGAAGCAGAGCAGAATGTTAAACAAAATAAACAAGATATATTAACTCTCTATGGACTAATGTTACTTTCAGGTAACATGCTAATTTTTCGGCATTTTGAATTTGAATATCAATAACAACTTATTTTTTTGCATTTCAAATATCATTTTGTTACTTTTTTTTATGATACAGTCCTGTTACTTTGAAGTAACAATGGCCTATAAGGAAAATTTCTGTATATTTAGGATAAAGCTTATGTGTTACAACACATGGATGGAGTAGATTTTGTTGATTCATTGATAGCGTTATATTGAATAAAAATTCAATCAAGAAAGTTGTACCACTGCATAATGTTTCATCTACTAGATTTAACGGTGGTCAATGCTTGGCTGTTATATATAAGCGAGACTGTTCATCACATTCTAAAAGCCCCAGGCGTCAATACCATTTATTGCAATTTAAAACTGACATTGCATTTTGTTTATGTCCGTAAGAAATATAAGATAATTAAGAATTTGTAAGAAAAGAGCGCGTCCTGTTTCTACCAATGTAGATAAACAATTACATAAAAATATAAAAAGGAGATCAAATACAGTACTTCCAGTACAAAACGTACGAAAAGATGAAGTAGTATATTGGCCAATTTTTTTGGACAACAGAGGAAGCTGCAAAAAAAATTACGGATGTAAGGGAATTCCCTTTAAATAAAATGTTAAAAATGCAATGTACATTTATGTTTAACGCCAGGTGCAAACTACTTCGTAGAATTTCATGCTTAAGTTTTTCTATGCAAAAGTGGAAACATTATGGGCCGTTGTTATCTGAAAGTAACACAGTAAATTTAATGTAATAAAATTGTTTAAACTGAAAAATTTTGTTTTCATCTGCATATATATGTTTATAATTGTTGATTTTCAGTTCAAAAAATTTATTTTTATTTATAATAAAAATTTGGCCCATAGAGGGTTAAACAAAATAAATTTAATCAATGAACAATTTGAATAATTTAATTTTTTAGGAGAAAATATAGACGAAGCTGCACAAAGGGAAGTGTTAGAAGAGACAGGTATTCAAACAATGTTCAAATGTCTTGTAGCATTTAGACATTCACATAATGCTGCCTTTGATTGTTCAGATATATACATGATAGCTTATTTAACACCTCGTACTTTTGATATTACGAAGTGTCAAGTAGAGATTTCTGAATGTAAATGGATAAAGGTAGGAATTATTATTAACACTTTCGCGATGGGAAACGTAGTTCTACGTCATTTAAAAATCTTTATCAGAATACGGGAGAAGTAGTCCTACGTCATTTTAAAATTGGTACTTTTTAATTTATTCATTAGAAATGAAAAACTTAACATAGGAACAAAAATGAATGCTATATAATTATTATGTTATGATTATATGCATATAATCATATGCTAACTCTTGCAACAGAGTGAACTATCTGTGATATAAATGAAAATATTATAAGCAGTAATGACTCAAATCTAATCAATATATTACCGTACGCCCAAAAACGATCTACCATAAAGATTGTTAGGAGGCATCAAGATGCATCATTTACAAAAAATACAAAGTTCAGAAGTTTTAGAAGTTCAAGTAAATTTTATGTTTCTGTAAGTTCGTCACATTCATATTATTAAACAAAATATTTTTTTTATACGCATTTGTAATATTTAATTTTTTTAAACTTTGAACAACACAAATGATTATAATTATTATACTGAGATGTAATATTTCTTTTATTCACATATCTACAACTAAAGATTTTACCGTACTTAGTTACAGAATTTTGGAAATTAAATGCCGTATTCAGTTAAACGTTTTGTTTGTCTATCGCTCGTCGCGAAATAAATTTTAATAAATACATCTTTATAAATTTTCTTTTCTATAATAAGAAAATTTATTGTTCATATCGACAATAAATTTTCTTATTATAGCTGCTACTATAATAAGAAAATTTATTGTTCATATCGACAATAAATTTTCTTATTATAGCTGCTACTATAATAAGAAAATTTATTAATATAAATTTATTTTCGTAGCTCAATGAATATTTACATCATCCAGAAGTACATGAAAATAATCGCTTGCTTGCTAAAAGAATGATTGAATTCTTGAAGAATCCCATAGGAATAACTGCGGAGCATGGAATACATCCGATTACTAAAAAACCTCTTTGTGTATATAGTATATCAACAAATAAAGAGATGTGTGCATGTGAAAAATAAGTTAATTATGTAAAATTATGTAAGAACAAATAAATATTTCCAAGCTATAAATTTTAAAATATTTTGTTTTATGTTGAATATACAGTAGAACCTTGATTAATCGATTCATGTTTACCCGACGTCTCAATTAACTGAGGTTTTGGTTATTGTGGGTTTCGGTCCTATTATCTTATACTTATTAATAAGCGTTTGAATCAAGAGTATAGTATTTATATTTTTTTCTAATTCTTTTCTCAGTCGAGAAAATATGGTTATGTCATCAAATATGAAATGAATATGTCACCAAATTTTAAAACTTAATTAAATTAATCTCATGTTATAATTTATAAACGTGACCCTCCTATACTTTATGTTCAAGTGCCGTCAGAAGTATAGTTGAGCGGTCGACTTTGACTACCTGTTTTCAAATGTCATTTTCTTTCAACCTTTCTAGAGCCAACTGGTCAGAGCCGATATTGCTGTCAGTTTTGTTCAGTTTAGTTTTGGAGCTCATTCTGTACGGAATGATTATGGAAAACGAAAAATATATCATATGTGCTGAACGGATGATAATCCAAAACATTAAGACTGTCTGCCGGGTCTTGACAGCTGGTGTAAGTTGCGAAAAGCTGAAACTTCTGGAGAAAATTTAAAACTTATTCAACATCCTGCATTATTATATACAAAAGTCCAAGAGTATGTAAAGCCAATATTTGAAGATTTATCCTGAGGTGATTTGCTCGAAACATGTTTGAGTGGCCATACACAGAATGCAAATGAGAGTTTCAATTCAACTGTTTGGCGTCTCGCTCCAAAAAACTTACATTCAGGATTAAAAGTCATTGAAATTGTCGTGTATACAGCAGCTGGATTATTCAATGAAGGATATACATCTCTTTTACAAGTAATGAACAATTTAGATATGATAATTAATTTTTTTATAATAGTTAAAAATATAAATAAACCACCTATGCCAAGTTTCACACAAATATATGTAGAATAAATTATTCTTTAAAAAAAATTCATCAAAAAGTCATCTAAAATTCGCGGGTCTATATGTATCTTCCTCCTTAACACTTGTATTGATTTTTATCCATTTAAAGAGGGAAGTATATATCAAAGTTTATTTTTTTCAAAAGATTTCTAATTAGGCCAGTCAAAAAGGCAAATTCCCTTTTTTTTGCTAGCAAGGCGCATTTTTGATATAATGGATTCGACAACGCTGAATCGAATGGTGCTAATTTTTTTGCACAAGGATGTGCCGTTTATGAAAAAAAGGGTAAAAAAATGGTCGTATCTTAGAATCTAGGTATTTAATCGAAAAAAGTTTCAAACAAAAGTTGTAGAGAATTGAAAAATACATCAAAACTGGTGTGTGTACTTATGTACGCACGTAAGAAGATATACTTCTTTAACGTACCAAAACGAGTATAACCTCAAAAACCTCAAAAATAACTTCAAAAAAAAAAAAACAACACCGAAAAAAACTCCAACTATTCCGCGTGCCAATATAATACTTACTCTAAATTTGTCAATAAGACGATAAAATGATAAAATAAAATATACATAAAGATATTTAATACAATTGATAAAGGTTTATATATATATTTATTAAGTATAATTTAATTTATATTTATTTATACGTGAGGAAGAAGAAGGGTTTAATAAAAATAAGAAATATCGCTTTGTTCGTCGGTTTCTTGTAAATTCTTCGCTGGTTGGTCAAAACATGTCGTCGTAGGTGTGCAGTGAAAGAATAGGACCCAGCAGGGCGTGCTTAACAACGGTTTGAAGAGTGGGGAGGCACGATAACAACATTTCGATATTCTCAATATTTTCAAAATGATTGAGCCGCGTATTTCGAATATACGCTAAGAATCTATAATCTTTACTAATGATACATAAATCGTTATCACGTTGAATGCTACACGAATTCTGAAGAAAATCCTCCTCTTGCCACGCTCGTTATTTAGTATTAAATAAATATAAAATAAATAATTAGCAATAATATTCTTTTTCTTTTTTTTTTCTATCAAATTTATATATATATTAATATACATTAATATTTATAAGTATAATTTAATTTATTTATTTATACGCGAGGAAGAAGAAGGGTTTAATAAAAATGAGAAATATCGCTTTGTTTGTCGGTTTCGTTGTAAATTCTTCGCTGGTTGTCCATGTTTTTGAAGTTGTACTTCTTTTGGCGCGTTTTGTAAACTGAAGTTAGATGTGACCGAAAAATCGACACCACGAAGTTGTCGATATTTACGATGCGCGGGCAAAGCGATTTCAAATTTTTCTTTTCAAGCAGTCAACCATCAAAGTTCTAATTGTACTGAAGCGCTGCTTGATTTAAATGATTTAGCAGGAACTTGTGCTTATGTACTTACTATGCTAAAGTAATTTGATATAATTCCCTCATATTTAGTGTGGACTGATATCTACATTTTGATATTTTTGACCAGGATCAGTATATATTTAAACTACTGTTAAAGTTTTCGAGATACCTAAAACTAATGCAGAGAAATGTAAAGAATATCGTCTTCGTAGGAAGAAGAATTAGGAAAATAAGGAAAACAAAATGCTAACTAATGCGGAACGTTGTAAGCTGCGAAGAAAAATGATTGCACTAGGATATGAATTGCCTGTCAATGAAATTTTATGTATTCCTTCAACTTCTAATTTACTTTGTAAACCATCAGCTCAGCCTGTGATTACCGATACAAATTTAAATAATTTAAATGTCACATCCAAAACTAATATTATCGCTAATTATTTATTTTAGTTTTGTTTGGTTTTTACTTTTTGAAGTTATTTAAAGTTATTTACATTTATTTTACATTTATTTAATACTAAATAACGAGCTTGGCAAGATGAAGATTTTCTTCAGAATTCGTGTAGCATTCAACATGATAACGATTTATGTATCATTTGTAAAGATTATAGATTCTTAGCGTATATTCGAAATACGCGGCTCAATCATTTTGAAAATATTGAGAATATCGAAATGTTGTTATCGTGCCTCCCCACTCTTCAAACCGTTGCTAAGCACGCCCTGCTGGGTCCTATTCTTTCACTGCACACCTACGACGACATGTTTTGACCAACCAGCGAAGAATTTACAAAGAAACCGACGAACAAAGCGATATTTCTTATTTTTATTAAACCCTTCTTCTTCCTCACGTATAAATAAATATAAATTAAATTATACTTAATAAATATATATATAAACCTTTATCAATTGTATTAAATATCTTTATGTATATTTTATTTTATCATTTTATCGTCTTATTGACAAATTTAGAGTAAGTATTATATTGGCACGCGGAATAGTTGGAGTTTTTTTCGGTGTTGTTTTTTTTTTTTTGAAGTTATTTTTGAGGTTTTTGAGGTTATACTCGTTTTGGTACGTTAAAGAAGTATATCTTCTTACGTGCGTACATAAGTACACACACCAGTTTTGATGTATTTTTCAATTCTCTACAACTTTTGTTTGAAACTTTTTTCGATTAAATACCTAGATTCTAAGATACGACCATTTTTTTACCCTTTTTTTCATAAACGGCACATCCTTGTGCAAAAAAATTAGCACCATTCGATTCAGCGTTGTCGAATCCATTATATCAAAAATGCGCCTTGCTAGCAAAAAAAAGGGAATTTGCCTTTTTGACTGGCCTATGGGGGAATTATTTTTTTTATAAGTTTTTCTATCTTTAAGTTATACAAATTCTTTTTATATTTCTTAGTTTTAATAGTAATAAATATGAACGTCATAAAAGATGTAGTTCTTCAAGAATGTAATTCTATCAATTGTAAACATATATACAATGCAGCAACGTGCTATCTGAGATAAATGTTGATAAGCCCGATATGCATCACCGGTAATACCCTATGTTTGAAAATACCCTATGTTACAAAGGGATAAGCATTTAGAAGAAAGAAAGGAACGCAGAATGTGAATTGCAGTCACAGTCTTAGAACGTTTTTGAAGTTTTAATTGCTATTTGTTCGCGCACTGAAGAAAAAAATATTAACGCATTTTGTGAATTATTAATATTATTGTGAAATTTACAATTTTACATTATTTTAGTAAATAGTTCTTTTTTATAATCTAAATATGTCTAGAAGAGAAAATAACAGTTTAGAAAACGTAGTCAGTATAAGTGAGGAGTGGTCTGGCACGAGCTGTGAAAAGAATGCATGGAATAAAAAATGTACTCATATTTTCATTTTAAAGTTTGTAATATATAATTATATTTCTCTTTTTTTAATGAAAATGTATGTTTCATGCGTGTCCATAGAGTTAGGTATACAGGGTCTTTCATCTAAATATACTAAATGTTTGTCAGTAACTCTCTCTCTCTCTCTCTCTCTCTCTCTTCAGTACGCGCTCGGAGGACGGTAATGAAGAAACAAATGTAAATCAACGTGTAAGCACTTATACAAGCAATAAATCTTATATTATACCCAAAAGTATAAGAGACAACGTTTCACAATTTTCTTGGTTACTTGAAGGTCAACATATTGCACTTTGTTGGATTTATTTTTTTATAAGTTATAAAACTGTGTAGTGAAAAAATGCAGTCCCATTTAAAAAAAATACAATGACCTTGAAATATCGAAAAAAATTACCTTGAGAAAAAAAATTCGGCCCATCACCGTATCGGCGTCTTCGAACAGTAAATTTCTTCCTTCTGACATTTTTTTCTATCGTACGAAATAAGCAATATATTTAAGGTGGTCTAGTTAGATGAAAGACTCTGTATAAGAAATGTCCGTAAACCTAGTTTTAATAACATAGAGTATGATTCCTCCTTTTTTATTTTACTTTGATAAATTCTCGTTTTATATGTTTTCATATGGTTTTGTAGAATATCTTTGAGTGAATTAGTTTTTCTTTTATTCTTTCAGCAGGTGAACCTACATCAAAGAAGCATCACCAAAATCCACAGCCAAAGGATGCGATATGTGCTTTAAACGAATTGAAAACTGCAGCGGTATACAAGTTAGTTGGTGAAACTGTTCCTATATTTACCATTGCAGTACAGATAGATGGAAAAACTTATGAGGGCAAAGGACGTACCAAAAAGATAGCTAAACATGCTGCCGCTGAACTTGCTTTAAGAGATATAGTGCAGTTCCGTAATACACCAATTATTAATAAGTGCCAGTTTGGTGTTTCTACCAGCGATGTCACAAACAGAGATAATCATCTTGTAAATGTTGATATGTTATCTAACTTTTCAACATTTGGTCACTGGCAAAAACAAATGACTTTGCCACAAATTTTGGCAGATCAAATAGGAAAAATAGTAAATAAAAAATTCACTGAACTTAGACTGAGTAAGCAGCAAAATGCTCGATACAAAGTATTAGCTGGCATAGTGCAAACAAACGGATCGGATGCCAAATTAATATGCGTCACTACTGGTAAAGCATAGATCTCTGTTAAATCTCTCTTGAACGTAATAACATCTTGATTATTCTTATTAATTTAAGGTACGAAATGTATATCTGGGGATCATTTAAGCTTAAGTGGTAGGGCTTTAAATGACTGCCATGCAGAAGTGATAGCTCGACGATGTCTCTGTGAATATTTGTACAAACAGTTGGAATTGCATACTGAAAATCGATCTGCAGAGTCTGTCTTGGAACGCATAAAGAAGAGATTTAGGTTGAAACAGGGAATTCAGTTTCATTTATACATAAATACGGCTCCTTGCGGAGATGCTACAATAATTTCTCCTCACGAAGAAAATGTGGACAAATATCCTAATAGAAAGGCCAGAGGTGAATTAAGAGCTAAGATAGAATCTGTATCAGGTACGGTATCCGTGAAGAATTACGAAAAAATTCAAACTTGGGATGGTGTTCTTATGGTAAGTACGACTATACGATTTAATATTAAAGTAAAGCATCAATGATTTAATTAAATTCCTTCGTAATTTGACTTATTATTTATTTATTTATTTCAATTCGTAGGGAGAAAAACTGCTGACGATGTCGTGTTCAGATAAAATAGCTCGATGGAACGTACTTGGTGTGCAAGGTGCACTTCTAAACCATTTCATTGAGCCAATTTACTTCCATAGCATCGTTCTCGGCAAGTTGGTGAACCTTAGTCAAGTGTATCAAGCTGTTTGCGGCCGTATTGAAAATACTATTCAAGGTCTGCCACCATTATTCAGGCTCAACAAACCATTGATGAGTCGAACAACTTCGCCCAAATTTAGGCAACCAAGCAAAACACCGAAATACAGTATTAATTGGACTATCGGTACTTATGTTTATCCATTTTATTAACCGTGCCAACATTGCTTGACTTTAGTGATCGATATGGGAACTAGTAATCCAACGTGTCTAGGCTATTGATAAAGTACTCACAAAATATTCTCAGCAACAATAATAGTCCCTGGGGTAGATAGTGAACTTTATGTTTAGACGGTTGCGGCTTTTCTTTGGGTCTTCTTATTTCCAATCCCCATCTGTTAATTTTGTGTTTATCGTTTAAATCGTCTGCTTTGGCTGTGCCATTCCTATACTCTCAACAAACAGTGAAACACAATTGTTATCTTGATGTATATGCTGTATTCTGTTTATACTTTGTAACCGAACATCTTGCCGAGTAATTGCTATTGTATGCCATCTGAACAAAAAGCAGAGCAAAATCGGTTCTGTGCTCAACGTGTTCAAATTATTTAATCAAGCTTTATTTGTACTTCATTTATTATCATTGCGATTCATATTGTAAAATGGGATTGCTAACTGGTAATCTTATAATTCTTTCATATAAAAATCTTATAAATAATATTTCCTCCATTTCTTTATTAGCAGTCTCTTTCATGATATTTTTTCTTTAACTTATATGATAACTAATTATTTTTATTGCATAATCTTCTATTGCAACTCATGTTTTCTTCCATTTTCTTATGATAAATTCTCCATCACTAAACTCGATAGCAACTGACTTTATAGAATCACTTGAATCTATTCTTTGTAATGCTTCAATTTTTTGATCTATTGAAGCTATAATTTATGTAGGTCAAAGCAAAGCAGAAGAAATTAACTGTACCACAGGAAAGGACAAATTGGGTAAACCCTCTAGACTTTCAAAGCAGGAGCTCTTCAGAAAGTTCTTCAGCCTACTAGGTAAATTGGAAACAATTGACGATGTCGATCAAAATCAATATCGTTATTACTTCGATGCGAAATCGTTGGTTCGAGATTACTCTGTAAGTTACCGAAATATAATACTTATTATGTAAGGCAAATTATTAATATATATATAAATATCTATGTATGTATATTTTATGTGGGGCATTCCACGTCAAATCGACCACTTTTAACCCCGATCCCTTTCAATTTGGCTGAAACTTTTTTATCATTTTCTACCTCATTGAAAACCTTTCTGAGATTTTTTTTTCCCAATTTAAAAAAAGTTATGAATTTTTCCAAAAAATGGCTTTTTTTCAAATAGCTGTAACTTTGTCAAAAATTGACTTATCGGAACGTTTTTTTTTTTAATTTTTTGCCTTTAAATGTACTTTTTTTTTTTTTAAATATTTTGCTTTTAAATGTACTTTTTGGAAAAAAAATAGAGAAAAAATATTTGAAGTCAAATATTTCAAATATTTAAAAAGTTCAAATTCTGATATTTTTTCTTTTTTTTTTCTTTTTTCTTTTTAAATTTTGGTTCATTCTGAACTTAACTCTGAGCTTTGCCTGATGGGCCGAAATTTCTTTCTAATTCTTTCTCCTAATTTAAAAATTCTTTTTTTACTTTTTCGCAATATAATTTTGTTTTTAATAAACTTGTTTAAAATAAACTTAAATAAATATATATAAATATTTTTAAATCTATTTAATGAACTTACAATTATATAGTTTAATTATATATTATCAAAAATTATAATTACAAAAAGGTTGCAATGCACCATTGGTCAATTTTTCAAGTAAATATAATTAACAATTTATTTGGATTTCCTTGGTCGCTTAAATAATTTATAAAAAGTATATTGTTTTGAATTAGAATAATTCCTTACAAAAGACACCCATTATTGCTTGGTATAACACTATGCAACTGTTGAGTTCTTGCAATGGTTTTCTTTTTTTAAATCTGTCAACTAGATCATCTGCAGCTTTATTGTAGTTTTCAATTGGCGAAAACTTCACTGTTATGGTTGCATATGGTGTTTTTTTGTACGGAATTATTCTAATTCCAATAAAAATGGAAATCCGAATAAATTGTTAATTATATTTACTTGAAAAATATGAAAAGCTAATTTTTTGAAAAATTCATAACTTTTTTAGGTTGGGTAAAAATATTTTTTTAAATTCTTAGAGAGGTTTTCAGTGGGATAGAAAATGATAAAAAAGTTTCAGCCAAATCGAAAGGGGTCGGGGTCAAAGTAGTCGATTTGACGTGGAATGCCTTCACATATATACAGGGTGATTCACTAACTCTTGCCACCAAGATAGCTCCGAAAGTATGATAGTAGCAGAAAAGTTTATAGAACAGAAGTTGCATGAAAAATTCAGGATATAATACGACGTCAGTTTTTTTTGCTAGGTTTAGTCGCTTCTGAGATGAAAGGGTTAAGTTTGTTTTTTCAAATGGAATGCTATGTTTTGGTACTTATTTTCTGACAGCGGCTGTCATGGCTAATCCAACGATGTGCAACATTAAGGTATTTAAAGGTCAAAAAAGGTTAAGTCTAGTGAACCAACCGGCCACGATACAGCTCCTTCGCGTCGTGCTTGCGTCGTGCGTGCATCAAGGTTGCGTTATCCTTTAGGTGTCCGACAAAGGACGGAAAAGTCGGACATAGTTAGGTTTGATGAATTTCTCTGTATTTAATAAATATTTACTGTATTTAATGTTACACATCATTGGATTCGCCACGATAGCCGTTATCTGAAAATATGTACCAAAACATAGCATTACATTTAATAGAACAAACTTAACCCTTTCATCTCAGAAGCGACTAAACCTAGCAAAAAAAACTGACGTCATATTATACTCCCAAATTTTTCATGCAACTTTTGTTCTATACACTTTTCTGCTACTATTATATTTTCGGAGCTATCTTGGTGGCAGGAATTAGTGAATCACCATGTATATAGGACGAGCGCCTCTATGTCAAATACTTAAATAAGGATTCGTGGAAGGATTGGACGGTGGGGCCTGGATAGCTCAATGGATAAGAATAGTCGCCCGGGAAACGAAAGATTATTCGAGTTCGAGTCCTTCCCGGTCTAGTCAGTCCAGCGGTTCAATATTTTTTACGAATCTTACATATATATATACAGAGTGTTCCAATCCATCATTCAATATTTATATGGTATATAGGATACCTTGCACTGAGTAAAAAAGCTTTAGTAAATATAGGTCGAAAGGTCAATTCTGAGATATAAACAGTTTTGTTTGTTATTATCATAATTGACTTACTACTGAATTTTCGATCTTTACAGAAGATTTTCCACGTGTCCACCTTCTACTTCTACACATGCTGGGCATCTTCTTTTTACAGAATCGCGAATTCTTTCGAAAATTTCACATTTCTGTCGAATTATTTGTTAAGCACGATGGATTCGTTTACGTAATTCTTCTAACAATCATTTATCGGCGAGGAATACACTAGACTTTTTAAATATTCCCATAAAAGAAAGTCCAAAGAGTTTAAGTACATAAAATGCATATCTGCCATTTCTTCATTCGAATGATACGCTGACATTTTCTCGATACTTTATAACTGTGTAATATCTATAATCGCCGATCCACAACTGACTGATTCTCAATGAAATCTAATTTTGGTACTTGAATAAGAACATTCAAAACGCGGTTCAAAAACACTAAAGTTAAAATCGTATGGAAGCAAGTAAATCAATCGTGATACTAGCAAACAAAAATGTTTATATTTCAGAAACGGTTGACCTTTCGATCTATGTTTACTGGAGCTTTTTTACTCGCAATTAGTACAATGTATCCTATAAACCATATAAATATTGAATGGTTTTTTTTTAACATCCTATATATATATATATATATATATATATATATATATATGTACATTGTGACATGTATATACACAAGCAGAAAGAAAAGAAAAGGAGGTTGTTTTATTTTGTTTTCTGTTATAACAGCTTGCCAAACGTCAATTGAAGGACACTTTCGTACGCGCTCAACTTGGCAGTTGGATTAAAAAACCGTTAGAACAAGATATGTTTGAGGTGGATATCTGACTGAATAGGATAAACTCTCATTGTCAGTTAAGCGGAGTATGTAGTTTCTACTGTAAAATAGATCACTCGTTTGGCGTGTTATCTTATGGCAGAATTTGGCATCAGTAAAGTATAAATGGTAGGATGTTGAAAGCAAAGTAATATTTTGACTTCGTCATCGCACGATTCAACAATAGTAATAAATGATTGTATTAGAAGTGTACAATGAAAATCGATTGTTTTCAATTGAGATCGAAAACAGGATAGTTAAGTTTCGGTACTTTTTGAATTTTTTGAACTTAAATGCTATTCACAAATGTTAGTAAATTTTTGACAGTTTCCATAGATTGGTAAATAGATAAGGGTTAGAAGTTTCGTTTAATAAACGTTAATCGACGAAAAGAATGCAAAAGTATTTTAAAAAGATTTTATTTTTACGTTTCAACGGCGCGTCATAAAAGAGAAATTCATGGATATTTTACGATACAACGAGTCAGCACATTTCCATTATTCTTCGGGGTACTATTGTTAAACTTTGTCATCGTTTTTCTATTGTTAATCTACATTTTCTTATTGTTAGACGAAAGGGAAATTCAACGGAAGATCCTTTTCCTCCCCCCTTCCTCTTTCCTCCCCTTTTAATTCCCATCTTTGCTACCTATCCATTTTTATCGTGGTACCTCTATGCATCGTGGTTGGTAAGCTTGAATATTTCACTCCACTATTTTTATTTTCTATTTTTTAACATTTCTTAAAAGAAAAAGAAGAAAAAAAAAGGTTATGAAAGTAACGTGAATTATTTGTTTTAACGTAAACTACGATGGTGCAATTTGAAATTTTAATAGTACGAGTAATGTACGTGGCATCGCAAATGCTAATTTTATGAGTCTACTGTGCCGATTATGTGAGTATTTCCGGGTCACTTGTTCCAAAAAGCCGCGTTTATCTGCATTTATATGCATTCTATATAGCGGATAAAGAGAAAAAAAACCCTTTTGAAGGCATTCTCTTTTTTTTTCTGTACCTTATATTGTAAATTTTAGTCTCTGCTCTTCCGGATGATAATTAAGCGATTTTTCAAGCGACTTTTACAAATGGCATCGCTTTACTCAATTAGTCCTACTTGCTCGTTTAATGATTTTTGTTTTAAAACAAAAGAAAAAGAAATAGAAAATAGAAATGTTTCGAGTATTCGCAACAGATTATTCCACTGGCAAAACGAGACCCCGTCCTTCTTTCTTCTTCTTTTTCTTTCAAAAAATCCAACCAATTAAAACGAATATTTAGACTCCGGGTAGTTTTTCCTTGAGTCTCTCGCGATAAAAAAAAATATTAATGTCCAGTACTGTATAAGGAGAGATCTAGTCGCGTAACTATGGTATTGTTTGTTTTTTTTTATTTTTTTGTAGGGTTCTAATATTTATCATAGCTGCCGTACCATTGCATCTCTATAAAAGGCTGTGACCAGACTTAGATTTTAACGAAGGATTTTTTAAAGGCATCTAATCGTTCATTTCATCGTGAAGATTGATAAACGAAAAAGAAAAATTAAGAAGAAGCGGAGAATCTTTTTAACGCGATGAAAGATGAGAAAAAAACTTTGTGATAAAGAAAATACGGCGTATCTCTTCGCGAGTCTTTCTACGGGATAAGAAGAGCGTCCTTGAACAGTTCGATGTCGTCACTATTAATTTTGATAGCAAGTACGTATGCGAGAATGCAGTTATGCGTGGGTATATGTACTCGTACGTGTGAGAACGATTAAATGATGTTTGCGTTTGTCAAAGAAAAAATGAAAAAGTGAGATAAATACGTAGAGAGCAATTCTAATCCAAGAGTAAAGTATTAATAGAAAAGTAAGTTATAAGTATTAATAAATATATTATAGCGGATATGATTATTTAGAAAGTTCTAAAATCCGTTGTCTTATTGTGCCAGTATTAAACAATTATGATGCAGTTTTCTGCCTTAGTGACACGCTGCCTGTGGCCGATTTAGTTTTACGTCAGAGAACTTAATTCCGACGCCCTCCGTTTTGTTGTTTCTTTCGATTTATCCCTCTTTGGATTATCAGAAGCAGAAATGAAGCTTTTAAGATTTTTCTATCTTTAGTTTAACCTCCTCATCTAGTTCATCCCGAAACGCAATATTATAATACACTCGGAAAAAGATAATAAAATTTTGTCTTTACAATTTAATATTTGCAATTTAATGTGAACAAAATGAAAGAAAATATTTGCTTTTGTGCGTATCGTGAAACTTATGTGATAGATTGTAGCTGCTAGTATTTTACAAGTTTAGCCAACTATAGAGTATATTTTTGTGTTTTATAATATTTTTCGTTCTTTTCAAAAGATATGAAATAGATAATTAGAGCGAGAATTCAAGTTTTCTAAATAAATGGAAATCTATTGCAAAATTGAGAAAATAACGATTATTTACCCAGTCCTGAAATCAAAAGATAATTTTATTTTTTATTTCTAGAAAAACCAGTAATTTTTAGGATTTATTTTTAAATCAACGATTCAAAACATTTTAAGGTAGAAATTAATATGTAAGAACCGCACATTTTTGTTTTCTTTTTCAAACTTTATAGGTATTATATTTCTATCGCGTAACGACTTTGTCTGGTAACAACCAAACCTCGCCATGGATTCTGCTAGGGTAACATTTTCTGGAGGTGAACTAGTCTCCCATTCGGATCTCCGGGTGAGGATTACCCTGGGGAACTCATGTCGGGTAAAGTCCAAAAACGGGAGTTTTGGCGTTGGGTTTATGATTAGTAAGAAAATCCTATCCATGGTAAGAAAAATTGAATTTATAAACGGAAGATCAGGACTGCTCGTTGTGCAGGGTCGGTGGTACAAGATCGCGATAATCAATGTGTATACGCCAACGAAAGACAAAGAAGATGAAATTAAAGACGGGTTCTACGAGGAACTCCAACACCTCGTGGATCAATTGTCGGAAGACTACATGAAAGTAGTCTTGGGGGATTTTAACGCGAAGATCGGTAAAGAGGATATTTTCAGACTAGTGATCGGGCTCGAAAGTTAACACGAGGAAAGTAACGATAACGGAGTAAGAGTAATCAACTTCGCGATTGGAAAAAATTTTATCGTTAAAAGCACGTATTTCAAGCATAGAAATATCCATAAACAAACTTGGATTTCCCCGGATGGAAAGACGCGTAACCAAATTGATCACGTTCTGGCGGATAAACGATGGCACACGAATATACTCGATGTTAGATTATATAGGGGGCGGACTGCGACTCTGATCATTTTTTGGTAATTGCTAGGGAGGGAATTGAGGGAACGTCTTTCGATAAATAAGACAAACAGACAGAGGATAGGAAATAAACGCTTAAATGTACAAAGCCTTACCGAAGGAGAAAAAGAGACAAAGTACGCGGCCGAAGTATCGAACAGACTCGCGATCGTGAAGGAAATAGACGAATTGGATGACAACTCGGTTGATAAATTATGGAAAAATGTACGCGACGCGATAGTTAAATCGACGGAAGCCACCGTTGGTTTTTGTAAAAGGAACAAAAACAAACCGTGGTTTGACGAAGATTGCGAGAAAGCCGTTAAAGTCCGAAATGAAGCGCGTATCACACGGCTGACCCAAAATACGGATGAAACCCGGGACCAGTTTCTAAATATTAGGCAAGCGACGCATCATATGTTTAAAAATAAGAAGCGGCAATAGCTAAAACAGAAGATAGAAGAGATAGACGAAAATTGCCAAAGCAGTAACGTCCGTGGTATGTACTTGGGGATAAATAACTTTAGGAAGGGATTCTAAGCTAGGATGGAAATGATGAATGATAGGAACGATAATCTGATTGCAGATACAACGGAAATACTAAATAAATGGAAAAACTATTTTGACCGGTTATTAAATGTTGAATTTGAAAACGACCAGGAAATAGAGAGTTTGGAGTTCCACGCGGCAGAACCCCTATGATTAACGAACCGACAATTTCGGAAGTAAAAAGCGCGATCAAGAAATTAAAGAATTATAAAGCACCGGGTATCGACTTGATTCCGGTGGAACTAATGAGGGGAAGTAGATTAACAGAAGAAATTCATAAACTAATTAACTTAATATGGAAAAAATAAGCATTGCCGGAACAATGAAAATATTCAATTATAATCCCGATTTTTAAAAAGGGGGACAAAATGAATTGCAATAACTACCGGGGCATTTCACTTCTACCCACGTGTTATAAAATTCTGTCGAATGTTTTACTAATGAGGATTGTGCCATATGCAGACGAGATAATTGGGGATCATCAATACGGTTTTAGGAGAAATAGATCGACTACTGACCAAATCTTTACTACTCGGAAAATCTTGGAGCCAAAATGGGAATATGATCAACCGGTACGCCAACTTTATATTGATTTTCAAAAAGCGTATGACTCAATAAAACGGAAGAAAATGTTTGAAATCCTAATACGACAGGGCATACTAAGAAAACTGGTAAACCTAGTCCAAGTCTGTTTAAGGGAAACTAGGGGTAGAGTAAAAATAGGTAATCAAACGTCGGAAACTTTCAGTATCCATAGCGGGTTAAAACAAGGGGGCGCACTGTCACCTCTTCTGTTCAATCTAATGCTAGAATTTGCTATCCAAGAACTGCAGAAAAGTAAGGATGCTGAACGGGACAACGCGACTGCTAACATATGCGGATGATATTGCTTTGTTGGAGAACAATAAGGAGATATTAGTAAATAACATAAGAACTCTACTGGACAAAACAAGAGAACTGGGGTTGCAAATAAGCGTGGAAAAAAACAAATATATGGTCACCGATAGAATGTAAAATTTGCCTAATACCGGAAACTTGGTCGTTAGAGATAAAATTTTTGAACGGATCAGCAACTTTAGGTATTTTGGATTGATCCTAAATCAGTCGAACGAAAATAGTGAAGAATTGAAAAAAAGGATCAATTTGGGAAATGCATGCTTTTATTCGGTCAATAAACTACTTTGCTCGCGGTCATTGTCTAGGCGCTTAAAGGTCATAATCTACAAAACAGTCATTCTACCGGTAGTCTTTTATGGATGCGAGGCATAGTAACTAACCATGCGGGACGAAAAGAAATTTAGGGGGTATTCGAGAACAAATACTTCGTAAAATCTTCGGTACAAAACGCGATGAGGAAACGGACAAATGAAGAAAATTACACAACGTGGAATTGCGTATATTGTATAGTAGACTGGATGTTATGATCGTCATAAAATCACGCCGATTAAGATGAGTTGGCTACGTGGCGCATATGGGTGAGGAACGAACCGCGTATAAAATATTTACTGGTATACCCAATGGGAAAAAACCATTGGATAGACCAAGGCGTAGATGGAAGGACAATATTAGGAGGGATATTAAGGAAATGGGATATGAGGATCGCGAATGGAGAGATCGCGCTCAGGAACGGGAACACTGGCGGGATTTGGTATATGCGGCAATGAGCTTTCAAGTTCCCAACACCACTTAATAATAATATAATAATAATAATAATACATGGGCATTTAACCATTTTCTATAATAATAACAATCTATGACAATTGGCATATCGTATAGTCGTGTAGTATCATTTCATGTCATCATTTTAATTCATTTGTTACTTATTAAGGGGCATTGCAAATATTCCGCAGGGTTTTTGATTGAAATATTTGTAGAATTTTAATATTTGATTCACTAGCGGTTTCCCGCAATTGAATTCCTAATGTCCATAT